AAGTCAAAGGTAAACTTGGGCTGGCTTCCATAACCAGCATTTCACTGATGTACAGGAGCTAGGTACTGGCACATGTAAAGTTTGTCTGATGCACTTGCTGAGCCAGAAGCCATTTCGCTTACTGGGCTGCAGGCTAACAACATCAAAAGACAGAATGAATATTCCTGTTAAATTATTGGGCTAGTAACGGGAGGCGCGACAGCCGAATAACCTGTTTGCTCATTAGGGAAGTCAAGCCTGTCCTGGAGTAGATTGTCTTACATGCTGTCTCACTAATCAGAGAACAATGAAGTAAAAGAAAGCTTAAATCCACCCTAACATGCCTCAAAAATGCACCTGGCAACGTTGTAGAGTACCCCATTTTAGTGTGTGTCACCAAGAGCTTATGTTACTTGTATTAGTGATCAGCTTCCTTATCTGAAAGGAAGAGCAACAAACATTCCTTCTGTGGTGCTTTAGACCAACTGTAGCAAAAGGGGCAAGTGTCCTAATTCACCGAGCTCGTGCATTTCCCCTCACTTGGATGAAATTGGGCTTGAGCTCCAGCATCAAGCCTGCGTCTTGTAGGCAACAGTTCCCAGCCTGCCGTGTTCAGGTCCGGCTAAAGGAACACGCTGCCCCTGGGAGCTGTCGGAGCCAGGACCGGCAGGGCTGCAGGAGCTGGCTCTCCCTTACTGGCAAAGCGTGAGAAGTTGAGTGCACTTGCAGCTTAGATCATCCCTGCAATATTTCACGTGGGAGGGCTCTTGCTGTGACAAGTACTGCTGCACCTGGAAGGTGCCACACAGCTTTTTCTCCTGCAGCTTCTGCTCTGCTGTTGTGTACTAAAACATTCTTATTACTGAAGACAAATGAAGAAGTGAGGTAGGCTTGTTACCAGTGTGGACATGTGGGTTCCCCCATTACCATCACTTGGGACACCTCCCAGCTGCTCAGAAGACAAAGCCCATAACATGCATAAAGCTCTCCATGCTTCCTAGGGACAGAGCAGATGGGAATTGTCCCGTTCCTGGGTGTGCAGTCATGGGAAAGCAGCAGTCAGGATCTTCTCTCATTTCCTTTGTGGAATTACAGTGTATCTCCCAGGTCTGGATACCTTGTTTGTGAAAGAGAGAGTGAGAGACACTGATACTAATGTGGCAGGTACAGGCCAGCTATCTCCTATGCGACCTCACAGAAGGGACAATATTGTACCCACCCCCCTCATTCAGTTGGACCATCCAGCTGGCATCTCCTTAGAACAACAGTTCTTGATGTTCCTCTTTCCTTCTTCAGTTTGCAGCTGTGTGCAATATGCAGTAATGCTGCTGAATTTACTTGTCATCCTGGTTTTAACACAGTGGCCTCGCATACTGCCCATACCAAGAAAGCAATTAGGGCTGCCTCGCTCTTCTAATAAGTTATGGGGTGTCATCACAATTTTTGCATTATTTTTGCAGGCTAGGATCAAAACTCAGTGAAGCCAAAAGACAGAAACCCATCAACACCCTTGCGCCTTGGATCAAGCCCAATAACCTTTGTTGCTTATTACTGTCACGCTAGCTAACCTTTAACTCAATCCATAGCACCCACTCCCCAGCCATTATGTACTTTGCTCTATAAACACAACCTCTGTTTGAATTGCGTTTGCAAACATGCGCTGGAGATGGATGCATTTCCAGCATGCTGAACATCCAAGCTAGCAGACTTAACTGTTCTTGGAAAGACATGAGGACAACACAGAATTATTTCTTCATGTAAAAAGTGATTTTATTTTATATTTTTTGTTCCAGAGTTCATAGTGAAAGTTTCCTATTGTTTAAGGGAAACTAATACAAATCAGGCAAGCTTATACATCAGTAGTGAAACGTGCCCTTCACAGTGTTGCTGCAACCTGTCCTTGTGAACTTGACCATGAAAACTGTATTAAGAGCATTCAGTAAAAGAGGACAATATTAAAAGGACAAGATGGCAACAGATATAAAATAAATTAAAAGTATCTGTAAAAGCTTCTTTCCATATACAAAATATCTTTTTTGGGGTATTTTTTTCTTTTTAAACTGACATTATCTGTACAAGCTTTAACTTCTAAACAGAAATCATTTACAAAAGCTATTTTTACAAAGAGAAATGAGTTGCTTAACAGCACGTGCTCCTCCCGCACACTATCGGTATCTCCTCAGAGGTGCACGTTCAAAGCCTTTGGCCAGTCCTGGAGCAGGGCACGGCGACTCCTAGAAACCCCAGGGGTGCTCGACACCTCGTCGAGGGCGCTCAGCTCCTCACAAGTTCAGGGTCCCAGACAATTTCAGAACACGGAGGCTGCCTTCACATCCCAGCTCAGGGGAACAACGACATTCATTCCAAGTGACAGTTCTCCTGGGTCAAGGTATCACGCTGGAGAACAAAATGTTTCGTTTTGCACCTCCTATTTTGCACACTTGCTGTAAGATTCCCCAGGCAGCCTTCAAGAGTGGCATTTTGAAGAAGTTTCTGCAGTGGCCTGCTCACCACCTGCTACTCACAGGAGACTTTGCTCTCACGGGAGTCCTCGGCAGAGCAAGGCTGGTGCTGTATCCTTGAGGACAACCTATGCAAAGGGAGAGCTTCCATAGCTCAAGCCATTCTCTTGGCCATCTTTCAAGCTAGCTATAAAAATAATGCACCGTCATTAAATACCATATAATTAGATGGAAAGTGGAACCATTTATCAATCAATAGTATTGTCAAAACACGAGATAAGAGGGAAAAGTCCCACGCACTTATTTTAATGGTGATTAGTAACATTAGCTGTAAATTATTTCAAACTAATACCTAGTTATATACAGAGATCATTGTCTATGTGATGAATACATTACTGATGATAGACACGGCTTTAGTTAAAACATTTCACTTACAAATACAAATGTAAAACAAGTCTTGTGGATATAATATCTCACATACATAGCTAACTGAAGAGAGCGTGACAAATGTTTAGCTGGAAGGAGCAGATAACACCTTACTTGGAGGATTGAACCTAGTGGCACATGCCAAGGTTAATGACAAAGCCTGGGTGTACGCTGGTGAGAACCAAGGACAGCACATTCATGCTGCTCTCCAGGTGACGTTTTTAAAGCCTTTACCAACCTTGTAACAACACTGGAAAGGAGCTCAGGTAGCCTTGAGCTTAGCTTCCCTTCCAAAGGGCCACTGGGACCGCTTCTGTCCCGGAGTGCTGCGCTGACGAATCATCTGCAGATAGCAGCACTTCCATTCCTGAGCGCAAAAGCTCTGAACCAAGGCTTACTCATTGCCACCCAAGTGGTGGGCCAGGGCACATCTGCTCTCTAAGAAAATATTCCTCTGTGGGCCCCATTCCCTGTCGGCATCGGGTACCACGAGCAGACTGACCAGAGCTCGGCGCAGTCCCGGCCTTCTGTCCAAGGGCCCAGCGGCTCCAACTCCCTGCCAGGATGCTGCCAGGGACCCTGCAGCCTGCAGCCCCTTGCCTGTGGGGAGCTGGGTCCCACGGCCAGTTTCCTTGGGGTGGGCTGCACTTCTCCTGGGAAGCAGCATCATTGCAGTGTGGTGACTCTCTGGCTTTTTGGGGCACGTTTGAAAGTTGCCAGGTGCTGTTTGTGCTATGCTGCCTTTGGGGGGGATGTAGTTCTTGGTTGCTCTACAAAGGGAACACGTTATAACCCTAACACCCATCCAGCCTTGAATGAAGTCTTGCTGAGCACCTCCTATCCTGCTGCAGAGGACAAGGGCTGTCGACCTCAAAAGCTTTTAGCCTTGTACTGGATATCAAAAATATTGTAAAGGAAGGGATTTGGGCTTCGCTTTGAAGAAAGAAATGGGAAGGGTTGTCATATAGCCACAGTGGCCTTGTAAAGAATTGTGTGAATTCTGTTTTGCAACAAGTTCTCTACAAAGTAGAGATTAAATTTGGTTAACTTCATTGCTCGAGTGCCTTTTTTTTTTTTTTTTTTTTTGGTGCTAGCACCCATTGTCACACAATTGTATAACATAGGTATTTATCTTTATAGAAATTTTAAATAACAACTTTTAGAAAATAGCACCTGTTCTTGCTTGCAGGTCTTGTTGCAAGCCAGTCAGGCTTAGCCTCTGGCCACCTCCAAGCATCCCAATGCCATGGAGCCAAGGACTGTGCCAACTGTTAAAAGATTCCAAGGTGAGCCCTACAACACACTCACTCTGGTGTACTTCGGCTTTGGACTATCTGTAATGTCACAAAACAAAGCTCAGCCCAAAGACACAGGCTGTTTTTCATTACCAAGACACAGCAACCTCCCTAGTCCTAGCTAGAGTCCTAGAACAGCTCTTTGCTATCTGCAACTATGTTATTTCAGATGGAAGAAAAGCAGAGTATTTTTTCTGCCAGTTTTTAAGGCCAATTTGCACATAAAATATGCAACTTTTCTCCTGCATATGGAGGCTGATCAAAAGAACACAGCTTCAAACCTTGACTATTTTGTTTTGATGGCAGTTCTGCTCCTGTGTGCTTAAGAAGACAGCTGTTGTCTGGAAAGGCAATCTTTCTCCTACAGTTTCATGACACAGATCCTTTACGGCTAATCTAGAGCAATAAAGTCTGCTAGCTGTGCTAATTATTGTCACTTCCTTGGAGCCCATAGAAAGGTATCAGGATCTTTGCAAATCTGACTTCAGGGATACACTAATCAAGAAAAGTAAGCCTAGGACTGCAAGCCTAACTTGCATCTGGGCCTAATCCCTAGTTCTTTTCTTTGAGTGAAATACCTGTCAACTTCAACTTGGTCTTTGCACAGGTAAAAACTGATTGCTGAAAGGATTCATAGGTCACTAAGTTGCAAGCCTACACCTCTCACAAACACGCACATTATTCACCTTGGTAAACATCACAGCACCACTGACCAAACACAAAAATCAATGACTAAGTGTTTGAAAGAGCCTCAAATAGCAATGAACCTGCAAAAAAAGCCTTTACATAGGAATATTGTAATCACCTTTGATATACTAAGGTACTGCTAACTCCAAAATGGAGAATCTAACCCTCATTATGACTTGGGAGTTAGTTTATTCACAATGTGTATTTGCTATTTAAGAATACCATTTCATAAATTATGTTGATAACATGAAAAGCTTGTTCAGTGTTGACCCTTAGTGCAATATAAACATTGTTCTTGCAGCCAGAGGCACTTCAAACAAACATCTTTCTCTATAGATTATGTTGGTGGAAATGAAACAGGATTTTTTGAAATTTTCCTGTGAATATTCTCCAAATGAGAGAACGAGCTCTTTATATATATGATCCATTAGACTTTTTTTTTTCCTTGCTAGTAATCTCTCAAATGAATAAGCTGATGGATAAATTAAAGGAAAGCATTTTTTTTTTTTTTTGTGCAAAACCTGCTGGTAAGAATTCCTAAATTGACAGCATAGCAACAACAAACTTCATTTTAAAAGCAGAAGCAGACCAAGATGAGAAACAAAAGACATGCTACATCAGATTCATGTAACCTATTCAGAACTAATGAAACAGAACTAGTTTCAGTTAATCATAGTGAAATTTTACAGATCAAAAATTATGCACCAAATAATTTCACATCAACAATCAACTACTGTAGATTTGTGCATAATAAGTTGCAAATATTTTGTAAAATATTTCTTATGAACAATTTACTCATCTACTTCACTGAGAGTGACACTTTCATACCTTTACCCACTGAGTTAAGGTTTTACTTTTGAGATACTACAAGGAATACATTAATGAAAATGAATACATATACAGAGTCAGTGAAATGTCATACTGAGGAAATATATGTCTAAGCTGGATTATCTAAGGCTCTTAGAATGTCAGATTTGTTTATGTTTTCCTTACAGCGCTCTACTCGGTAAACTAAAGCAGAAAGCTTAGCTTTAAAAGAGAGTACTATATTTCTGCTCTCCACCTCCCTTAGTCACTAGAAGAATGGAGAGAAGAATTAACAGCGACCGCTGTTTCCAAAATCTTGTACAAAAATAGATCAATATGTCCTTCTGACAGTCTCTTAATGTCTTGAAGAGTCTTCTGTAGATTGCTCTTTCATCTTTCTTTTTCCAAAGAAACGATAAGTGTCCATCACCAAGACCTTACCTCTGGGACACATCCAAAGATAAGCTACGTTTTCATATGGCCCATCCTTGGGAATTCCTATCCAGAATCCACTCCATCTTCTTATTCCGATTTATTTTCGTTTTCAGAATGAAATGCATTGGCAGTGCAAACAAGAAGTAGAAACCATGAAAAACAACAACCCAATAGTAACCAATCACCTCAGCATTTCAAAGGGGTCCGCTGCAATGTTATCTGCATGCACAGGACTCCACTGTCATATTAGGGTAGACCTTAAGAACCACATTCTTATTTTCATCGAAGAATAAGATGCTGAGAGAGGACATTTTGTCAGGAACGCAGCAAGGCTCGGGAATGCCGGGGACCACTCCAACCGCTCTCACTATGCTCTGTATGGTTGCATGGTTTGAGGGCTTCAGGGCCTGCAAGAGAAAGGTCAGGCACAAAATGAACACACACCCATGCCAAAACAGACCCACGTACCCTACGTCACCGTGGAACTAAACTTAGTTTCTTGAAGAAGGGCCCTATAGAGGCCAAATGGCTCTCTAGCTATAGATACCCGAGCATCACTCAGGACCAGCTGTCATCCCAGTACGTGCCCAGGCCAGTAGCAGGGCTCTCCTGGCCACTGGATGTCACTGTGGCTCCACAACTCGCATGGGGACACGGCAGCCCCCGGTGGGACATGCCTTTCTAGGAAAACACCCAGGCTGCAGGCCTTGAAACGAGGAGTACTATACGTCAAGGGAGCCTCTTCCCACGCGAGCTGCCATTCAATTTAGTCGTAAAACTTATACGGCAGGAGGGAGGCAGTCCACCTCACACCAGTAGGCTGATTCATTAGGAGAGCTACATAAATAGAGCCTCTCTGCTGGGAAGTTAGTCTGAAGGAATGTGGGTGCATCAGGAATAACGAAAGGTGTGTAGGGAGGCGAGAAGGGCAGTACTTTACACCCTCACATTCACTATGCCAGCTGGCTGTCTTGCAAGGTGGTGTCGGTGCTCTTATTCTTCCTGCCAAATAGCTCAAATTGCTCTAAATTTGACTATATTATGAAGAACTGCACTTTTCATCTGGAACATACATCATCAGTGACCTGACTGTTTAACTAAGCCCCCAAATCCCAAGGGGGGGGATTTGTATCTCATATTTCTGTGATATTTTGCTCCAAAGGACAGAGTTTCATGACTTTATACTCATGCAAACAGCGGCACATTTTGTTTGTTAGAAACATAAAGCAAATCTGACTAGTCAGGCAAATGAAAAATGAACACATTACACTTGACCTCCAAGCCCCTAAACATTTCCAGAGCAAAATATCTGTAATAGTTATGGGAGGGGAGCACCTACTATGCACAACACATTCATTTTAACCTGAGACTTTTCTTTCCCCCAGTGCTACAAAAGAGAAATTTTAACAAACCATTTGATAGCTCCACTTACACAAAGACCCTGGGAATCATGGTTAGATATGCTCAGTCAGATGACACTAAAATATATATGAAACAAGATGATTTGAGCCAATTTAGCAATCTGCATTTTTTTCAGGTGTGCGAGATGATTTGCTTCTCAAAAAAGTCAGGAGGATTAGATATCTATGCAAGTCCTAACAACCTTGCATGCAAAAACAAAAGAAAAAAACTTAAAAAAGAAATTAAAAAAAAAAAAAGAACACAGGAATAACTGTGAGATTCTTTCTCCTTATATCATTTGTGCATTAGTACACTTCAAGTATGTGGTTCTAGTTCTTCTGGATGTCTAACCTGCCCCTGGTTAAGATGAAGTAGCTCCCAGCTAATGCCAATTGCATTTTTTTCTCCTCTCTTCCAGAGACAGATGTGCCTTAATTTCCAAAAGAAATCAATCAGAAAGGTCTATTTTTCTATATCATGCTTTCGAAACTAGTCTCAAGTGAGAACAGGAACCATTTTGACAGAGAACTGGAAAGGATTCACTTGGGAGCATTTAGCTGTTCTTTACACGCTAAACATAACGTGAAAGGTTTTCCTCCTTCTCATAAGGAACTTAGCTTGCATGCAGAGAAGCTGAGAAACAGCCCATAGCCCTAGATGCTGCCTATCCTTCAAAAGATTCAGATTCTCCTTAAGTATATTTGAGATCCAGGTACAGTTTCAAACACAGGAGGTCTACCTGTTTAGGTTTTTTATATATATATATATAAATTTTATATATATATATATTGCCCATTACTGTTTAAGATTAATACCTTATTGGATAATGGAGATAGAGGTTATTGGTGATGTTCTGTCCGAAATACAAAGCTTGTTTCAGCAACTTCTTAAAGGCTGTAGGTTAGCCAGCATGGTTACAAGGCATTTCCATCAGTCTAACTAGCAGATCTCAAGAAGGAGACTTGCGGTTGCTTCTAATTCAAGAACACCTACATTACTCAACAGTAGCTTATAAGCATTTTTAGAGTTTGCCAGACTGACACACAGTTTCAACTCCTCTATAAACTATGCTTGCAGGAGGGTGTGAAAGCTGCCGTTGCATGCAGGCTCATTCCACTACTCCACCTAAGTCACTGGGGCCAAAAGTTCAGGCTTGAAATCCTTCTGATTAGATGTCAAAAGGTTAAAACAATCTAAGTGAGGCTGACGTGCTATCCCCAGCACCAGCAGAACGGGAATTCAGAAAAGGTTTCAGAATATGCCGGATTAAAGTCTGTCAGATTAAGGTCTTACTGCAAACCCTGACTTTATCTTCAAATACGCAATCTGTGCCCTTGGTGCCATTTCCTAAGGAATGCACATTCCTTTTTCCTTTCGTGTTTTCTGTTGGTCAAGCTTGAAATTACCAGTCATAATTATACTGTACTGAAGAGGAGCTCAGCGATTCACCGGTTTATGGCACTGAGCCATTCTGTAATCGCTGAGGGTTTGATAGGGCTAATCAGTCGATCTGACTGGGTGGAGTTTGAAACTCTTCCTTGAGTTCCCTTTTTGGGCTGGGCTCTGAGCTATATTATGTCCCAGGGAGTTGTCCAGAAGCAGCTATGCTTTTATGTACAGAACTGACCTCAAATATCGTTCACAGACCTTGTGATATCAGTGCAAATAGCCCAACCGCCCTCTGTCATTCCGTTTCACATGAGTTTAACAAGAAACCCATCTATTTTATGTGGGTATCTTCTGATTACAGCGCATCCTCCATACTCCAAGTCTGTCACAGACACAGTGCTCCTGGCCTTTAAGGTGCACTTTTGATGCTAACTAGTCTTGGCATAACTCTGCTTCTGCCAATGGGGAATTGAACTGACACCAGAGTAAAGCCCAAAGCTGGATGTTTTTTGCAAAACCAAAACCCACCCTGGAGCACTGCAGTGGCATTATGCCCTGCCTAAGTAGCAGGAAGTTGGATCATCTTTGCCTCAAGGCTGCACATGCTCTGTCCAGCACGTGCTAATGGGAAGCAGACCCATCTATAAGGGCAGAAGAGGGAGGGGAGGCCAGGAGGAGCACTGAGAGGGCCAAAACCGACTCCAAACTGCCAAACCTTTGAATGAGTCCAGCTGTGGCTAAGGCTGCACCTGCTAAGCTGCATGCATCCTTGGGAGACTTGCAAGCCTGTTGAATTTCACTGCAGATACCTTAGGAGGAGGGCACAGGATGTCAACTATGAGCTTTCATTCCTGACCTGGGAAAAGCCTGCCTGGTCTTTACGCTCTGCACTGTTCTGCTAGCTCAACATGTGCGGGTTTGACAGCAGGCAAACCAGCTAATTGAAATCAGGGAAAGGGCAGGGCCAGAATATTTGGAGGTGGAGAGGGAGGGGGAAAAGGCACATCTGTTCCTAATTATCCAACAGGTTGTCAACTTGAGGAGCTCGCCCTCAGTCAGGCAACATTATATACCCATAGGTACAGATTAGTTTGTTGTTGCCTGATGCTTATTGCAAATGCAATCCTATTAGTAACACCAGATATTAGGTGTGACACAAGAATAACACATGGCTCTGAAAGATGCCTGTTTCATCTTTACATATATTTAGATTGCCATTTCCACTGGAAAACACACTTTTTCTTTTATATGATTTAAAAATTGCACAAAAAGAACAGTTTCCAAAATTTCAGAATAAACAGAAATTTACCAACTGCCTTCAGGGAACTAGACTCATGACAAGGTTTCACAACCAGCCCCCCTAACAGAATAACAAACTATTTCTCTCTGTAGCCATTAAGTATTCAGCATCCCAGTGTCTAAATAACTGTATCATTCTGATTCTATCTTCCTAACCCTAGCAAGGCTAGGCAGTTTCACACAGAAAAGCGGGATAACATATTTTAGTGGGTGTTCCTGGAAGAGAACAGGTGTCCTGGTCAAGGCACTGGTAGACTTTGACTGTAGGCTTAATTCATGGCTATCAGGCCTTTTGAGCCATCTCAAGGAAATGACTTAATTTTGGTGCTTTATTTGCCTGTCCATCTTCCCCTTGCTATTTCCACCTTTTTCCACTGTAAGCTCTTCTAGGGTAGGGATTGTGTATCTATGTATTCCACACGGAGAGCAGAGGGAGGGAAAGAATTCCTTTGGGACTGCAGCAAAACACAACCTGCTTTGGCAGGAACGCGTTTGGCACTGTATATTAGAAAATGTTTTTATGCAGACTATCATTCCTTAGGGAAATTAGCCAAAGATGGACAACTCTCAGATAAAGCTGGAACACATTTTTTTTACTTAGACTGTACTTCAGCCATGGGCACTCCGTCATGCCTTGGAGTGCCAAGCAACATGTTAACTTTCAATTAAAAATCATTTTGCCACTTCAGAACCACTGGTACTGAACCCATCTCAGGGAGTTCTGCTTGCAGGAGAGTTTGTAGAGCTCACTTCTCATTTCCAGAGGTTTGGAACCAGTGTGGGAATTAAGCCCTGTGTTTCTGGAGCACATCAGGGATTTTCCAGATGCGGGTACTAAGAAAGGCTTTATCTAAGGGAAATTATTGTTACATTGCCTCTTTTGCTTTAGAGCCTTTGCTCAAGCCTTATTTGTTCTAGAGGGTATCTATTATTAACCATGTCTACATTTAATATACACCTCACCCCCCCAAAGCAAAGGTGGTTCTTCCCGCTCACTTTACTCACTCAAAATATATGATATATATTGACAGCCATTAAGAGGGAACTTCTCTTAAAGTCTTTTAGTCTAAGTGATTACCTAATTTGCATGTCTGCCAAGTACATATATATATATATATATATATATACACACATATGTATATAAATGTGAAATGATGGGATGGAATGGTTATGCTCTAGCAACTGCTAGATCCTGGGAGTTACTAACCACCTCAGCTGTCACTTCTTTGAGAGCTGAAAGAACCGCAGCTGATCATCTTAAGCTTCTACTTTTGGACTTAGACTGCTATACATTTTTCCCTTAAGCTATCATGAATACATGATATTATGTTTGTTAAACACGTCAGTAACAAACTCACACATCATTAGCACTGGTCAGTAAGTGCTTTATAGCTATATGGCTTCTGGGAAAAAAATATATATGTATACCCACATGCAGTATTTTTTTCATTATCTTTGCAAGTCTATCTTCATTCTAACTGTTCTAACAAATTCCTTGTAGCATGAGACATGGAGATATTGCTTATTTATACTACATCCTAACATGCAACAGGAAGAGTGTAATTTTGCTGATATTGGAGAAAAAAGCATAGGTTTCAAGTCTACACGAGTATTCCTTCTGTACAGTGATGGCACAGTAATGGACAGTGCAAAAGAAGCGCTAAGCACAATACCTTTGGGATTGGGAACTGGCATTCTCCCGAGCAGTAATAGGCATCAAAGGATTTAGGGGAAATAATCCATTCGCTCCAGCCAATGTCTGCAAAATCCACCTTGAGATAGCGCCGGGCGCAGTACCTCGGCTCGTTCCACTGCCTTCTCCTGGCGTTCTTCAAGGTTTGCTCGTCAAACTGGAGAGTCTGGCTCTTCTGCTGATGATTCTTCCTCTGCTTTTTCTTACTCTTTGCCCTCTCTGCCAGCCGTGGCTGGAGGGTTTTGTAGGGCTTTCTGTCTTCCCATCGCTCATCCTCACCGTACTGGTACTCGGCCCCAGGAAGCTCATTATTCTGCAATGGCAGCAGGACGTTTGCGGAGCGTTTCCGCCGCCGCTTGCTGAGGCCACTCTTGACGTGGTTTTCTGTCCTGGGGAAGATCCTCACCAGGGGATTACGGTGCCCTTGCAAGCTGGAGACAACACTCTCCGGCTCTGAAATGGCAGAATCATTGGCATATACCAAAATGTAGGGTTCATAGCAAGAAGGTGCTTTTTTCCAGGGATGATGGTTACTCACATCCATTTTGACATTGATCAGAAGCTCATCGTTTTGCTTTGCCTCGTGCAGGACCTGAGTGATATCCTTCCACTGCCAGGCTGGGACATCCCGATTCGCAGCGGAGACATTTATTAGGAAACGTCCCAGACTCCGAGTCTGGTTCCCAACAGTAGGAAAGGTCCAAACTGACAGCTGAATCTGAATTTCAGGTTTCCCGTGCCTGTGACGAGAACAGTCTCTGGATCGGGAACAGTTCCAGTCAGCGTTCAGCAGATCACCAATATAATAATACACCGAGGCTGACAAGATATTTTCCGACTTGGTGAGGGAGGTCAAGTTAAAAGCATACAGCTCTTGGCTTCCAGGGCTCCCTAGAAGAATAAATATTTGCATAAGAATACAGGCGATTCAAAGTGTTAGGGATATTTAGTCCAGATGGACTAGATGTGTTGCTTTCTACCTTATACATTAAGCTAACCCAAAAGACCAGCTTAAATGCCAAGCTAAAACTGACATACAAAGGATGCTTGTGCTCAGTGCTAAGCGTGCCCCATGAGACCATGGCACGGTAACCTTCACACACGCAGCCGGGTGCTCTTTGACCAGAGCCCTTCGCAACCTCTAGGCTAGAGCTGGGCACACTAACAACAAACTTGTCCACACAGAACAAACGTCGCCTGTTTCTGGAGGTATGAGGAGGAGAAACACGAGGCAAGGATCAGTGTTCCATATTTTGAAGCCTTGGATGTCAGTTCTGCAGAGAGACGGACAGACAACTCAGCATTTGTCATGACCTCAAGTCACAAAAGCTTGTCTGACCATCTCCTGGCTAAGCAAAATACTGATCATAACATACATTTGCCTATACAATAAGCAAGCCCTGGGCTGCTTCAGTTACCTCAGGTAAAATTCAGTCATTCCACCTCAGATGTTTCCTTAATTTTCACAAGAAAGACACCACACACAATACTGATTAGAGTAGCTGGAGACAGATGGACTGTACTACAGCAACCTTGTTAACCAACAGAGAGCATTAAAACTAAAGGGCAGGGGGACGGAGGAAGGGGTCAAAATGCACCCACTTGCCTTTGCGAAGAGGAAACAAGCCAAAGAAAATACTTCTTTGTGATCAAGATGTTACTCTATCAGTTAGGAAGGATGCTGTGGAACGTGGGGTTTCCACAACTGTGAAATTAGAGAAGCCAACCTCATCACAGGTACCCTGCACCAGCCCCGACACAGACCTCATATGTGAAAAAATATGCCTGACTACTTAAAATCCTTCTAGGGTGCACCAGAAAACCTCAGGCCTCAGGTGAGGCTTAATTTTTGCTTTAAAATTTCCTGGTCGGACTGTGTTTATGTCTGTCCTTCAGAACAGAAGAAATATAGATGCAAATGTTAAGGCGCTATTGAGAGCTGTAAAAGCAGGCTGTATGGAAAAGTCAAATACAGTAAAACAAAGGTATGCTCTACAGCCCCCAAAAGGCCTGGAAACAACCCAACACATTAGGAAAACAGGGGAACATCAGGTTAAATGCTGCACATGAAAACCCTTTCCAGAGGGTGAAGGGAAGTAGAGGATATAGAGGGTGGTGGCAGTTAAAAGTTTTGTTTCCCCCCAGCTTCCTTCTTTGGTCTAAAAAAAGACAAGTGCCAACAAGCCTGTGGACTCCTCTGCTTCCACTAGGTCCTCTGCCCAAGCAGCTGAAAACAATTCATTTCCAGTAGTGATCTTTCAAAAGTGTTCACAACCATGTTATGGGTGACATTCTGCACTTCTCATCAGCAGTATCCCATCTGCTAATGACACTGAAATGTGCCCATCAAACGACCATATTCTTCCTCCCCAGCCGTCTTTTTTTCAGTGGCCTCTTTTTTTCCAGAAACAAATATTTTGGACACGAAAATGTATTTTAGAAAAGTAGGAATCCACTCATGAGACTGAAGCCCTTCCTCGCCAGTATATCTTATGCATCACTTCATGATAGTAGAGAAAAATCATCATGTACTTTTCATCCAAATAAGGGGGAAAAAAGATTAAAATGAGATGACCAGGCCCTCCAGGTCCAGCCTGAGAGGGCATTATATAGGTTCTAGAAGGCAAGTTTCCAATAGCTGAAAATTATCATAACAAATCCATCCAATTTTCACCTATTACTTATTACTGGGAAACTATATTGTCCATGGGTTCAGTTCTGGTTTTAATTCATGAAGCCCCAAAGCAGCTATTCATTGCATTTGTAGTAACACACACAAACACCTGATCTCTGCTTGGTTTGTAATCACTAATATAATAAGGTTAATATATAATTTGGCAAAGCACTAAGTGTATCACTCTTAGGAACTAGAATTTAGTGTCTGTTTATGAAGCCTTTTTTTTTTTTTGTATCACTGTTGTATGTTGAATCACAAGTTCTGATTCTAACTTTTAATAAGAACCCCACTTAACAAATACTGCCTGTTCTAAATTGACATACTGTAGTGGAACACAAAGCAAGCTGCTTTTGTTTAGAAAGAAACTCTAGCTGGTGTGAAGCAGACACAAGAGGATTATATACTTTTGATTAAACGCAAAACTCGAGAAGCCACTCGAGTATTTAAACACACCAAAAACTGAGTGCTAGCAGTAGGTGGAGCTATTTTCTTACTGAAAGACTCCCATGCTCAACTAGCTCAGAAAAGTTTTCAAATAATTCAGTTTGCAAAATGCAGGCCATCTCGAAGGCAGTTCTTAGCAGCCAGCACAGATGCTCTGTGGATTTGCTGGGACTCAGCTCAGAGCAGCACAACTGTGTGAATTGGGTTTGTATCCCAGCTTGGGAACACTGTCAACGACATCCTTTGTGTGACAGGGACAACTGAATCCTAGATGTGCACAGTGAAGTTAAATACACATCCCCCAGGCTAGTAAATACCTTCCAAAATGACAGACAGATAAGGAAAGATTCAGCTGTAAAGCACCCACAAATATAGTATCTCACCAAGAAAATTCAATTGCACATTGCAACTTCAGCAGTGTCAGCCTCAAACCCAGAGCACACAGATCCTGCAGTAGCATAATTTCAGCTACCAATAAAGTATCTTCATTCTGCAGGAGTAGAATCTAGCACAATTATACTGCATGGAAAGATATTTTGTAGGCTGGTATCAATACCTCAGTATTAAACGGAAGGGTAAACTACAGAGCAAAGTTCTTCAACATCTGCCTGGTGGCCAGTGGAGAAAGCAGGAATAAAACCTCGACTGCCTAAGCCCACCTTAGGACTCCGGTCAGTTTGCCTGCTGTAAAGAAGAGCTTTCAAATCATACACATTACAAAATCTACTGGCCACACAGCCCTCTATTTACCTGGCTATAGAAACAACAACACTTTGCACATTGAAGGGGAAAAAAAAAAAAGCTGTGGAAAATTACGGCATCCTAATAGCTTTTGCTGTTCTCAGTATCTAACAAAATTGAAACGTCAAACATGTGCAGTTTGCTTTGTGCTGCTTGCTGTGGTGTAATGCGTGGCAGACACCTACATGCCCTTTCAAGTATTTGCTGCTCGAGTGGGACAGCTTGCTGGACAGCCAGTCCCCTCCTGCCCCTCAGCCAGCTCTCGCACTAAGGTGGCCATGGAAAGGCCTTAGGAGCTTTGGATATCTCTGCACTGCCACCAACGGGTGGGCCAAAATCACAGGGGGCGAGGGAAGCCCCCAGCCTCACTACCTTAAGAATTCTGGTTTATATCTCTGAGCACTTGTAAGGGTAACTTCATACTTAATCACCCCCATGTACAATGCACTGCAGTGGCAACTCAGTACTACTGCCTGAACAGCAGTAACCCCCCCGGGTCAGTTTGCAACCCTCCAAACTCCTTAAGAGCAGGTTTCCAGCAGAGCACTTTCAGCCCTTACCTTACCTAAAGGGAGTCAAGTTAACTTGGCATCGTTCTTGCAGTACTTTGGTACTTCCGCGGGAAATGCAGAAGACTTCTGAGCAACAAAACCGTGTAAAGAGATGATTTCAGTGAAAGTGCTCCACCTGGGGCTGGAGCAGAAAGGTACTTCCCCAAGAAGAACATGTCATTTCTTTCATGGTAAGGTAGATAAATGCAGCCAAATGTGCAGACTAAATGCACAGACTTTGCTGGCCTCCTCAATCCACGTGTCACACGCAAGGCATAATTCATCCGGGCCCTCTTCCCTTGCTTGAACAAAACCCAGACAACCAGTGTCAAGGCGCAGCTCCTATGGGGCCAGGGCTGCTTCCCCAGTCTCTGCTGGCAGCGCTCAGCAAGGGGAGTACAGAGCTTTCTAGAGCAGAAATACCTCGTTATGTCACGTAGGCGCTCATCACTCTGCCACCATCCCAGGGCGTGCGCTCTCCCTCCCTCCTTCCCAGGACAGCAATATTGCAGCCAATACCTTGTGTACTTCTGACTTAGCCTTGAAAGCAACGCAGCTCCCAGCGCACAAACCAAAGCACGTGTACCTGCTGCACCTTCAGAGACATGGCTTGTGTTTCCTCGCCCTCCCACAACAACCCACAGCTGTTCATGTCGCCTGTTACTAGCATTAAAAAAGGCCTTTTAAGAAAAAGCAGCAGGTCTGCGGAGACTGACATCACCAGCACGAACATATTCATGTTACAAGGGGCATTTCCAAGCATCAATAAGCTGGAACAAGTCCACTAACATGTGGTGTGTTTACCTTTATAGAGGATGCACTGACATTTTTATGGACTGCCAAATCTATCCCATGGGTGAAAAAGGATGCAATAATGAGGGCCATTTAGTTATACAGTCATCATTAGCCATCATTTAAATGAGATATTAAAGTGGTGCCCTTGTGCCAGTACACAGTTAATGTATCAGTGTTTCCGTTGTAAAACCATGGTTTTGTGGGTTTTCATAGCCCAACTATGAACTTTCATCGAGAGCTGGAAATGGGACCAATTTCCAGGCTGGGAACTAGGTTTGGGAGCTACGTTTCTTCTCTCATAGAATCATTATGGTTAAAAAAGACCTTCAGGATCAGCTGAGGTTATAGCAGCTAGTAACTTTACATACAAAAATAAAAACTCATCACCCTGCTTAAAACTATAACTCAAATACAGAACTTAAAAAAGCAGTGATGGTGAATGCTTGTAGTCTAATGTACATGCTGGTTTTATGCTATGGAAAGCATAAATATATACATTGCACATCATAAACACATGGCACAGTGGGTAAATGATCTATTTTTTTCATGTTTTAAGCTACCTAAGACAGCTAGTATCAGAAAAGTACATGAATTTGGGAAGGGGCAACACAAAAGGCTGGCTTTTGTCCTTACAATCGTGATGAATTCCACTTCACTCGCCACTAGCAGGTCAGCATTATGGAAATCAAACTGTGCACCCTGCCCGTCTCCTTCAGGGCAGAACTCTTCACATGAGCAGTTATGGGCCCTTGGCACTGGGGCTGACTCACCACAGACTCTGCGCATGGTATGTCAGTGTGCACATCAGAGATACAGCAAGAGCAGCCAGAAAAGTCAAATCCAGTGCCTAGAACGGTTTGGTTTGGTCCCGAGAGGCCAAACCTATAGATGCTGTCTCTTTGTGTTTGAATAATGTTTGTAGAGTCAGGACTGAACTGCCTAAAACCAAACCTAACACCCTGCAAGCCCATTCTGCCAAAACCCTAGCCTGCTCCTCCTGTTGCAGTGTATTTATAGGGTTATATCAAAAAACACACCCCACACCCTCCTGTGCTTCATCCTTAATGTTTTAAAGCTATTTTTATGAAAGTCTGTTAATGTTACTAGAGCTGATAAAGACTCACGTTTCACCCCTGCTGTTTTTTCAGGCCGATGGCTGTCAGTGATGGGCTGTTTTCCCTGTGCAGAACGTGATTTCCCTTGTTGGCGTGGGCATTTCAGACCGCAACAAAGGAAAGCAAAGCGTCTTATAAAGGAGGAGAGCATAGTTTTTAAACCACAAAAATTGGCCCGGGGCAGGTGCAATAGCTAAAATTAATTGAAATTCAGTCAATAAAAAAGGAGTTTAAAGCAATTTCTGACTGTACAGTTTTACTGTAACATCATTAGAGAGGGCCCCTCCAATTAAACTTGAGCTTTTTAAAATGACTCATTTCCAAGACATGTTCCTTTAGTGACGTTATGATTTAGAACTACTTTAAAATGCAAGCTAAAACGCTTATATTCTTTTTTAATCTTTCCACTTTCTGTTTTATTTATTCCAGGCTCTATCTTTCCACCCGGTCCAAAGTTTCAGAAGCTGCAGCAGTGCCCCACTCTGCCGAAAGCATTGAAGGTAGGCAGATTTATGCCAACAGGAGATCTGGTCATGTAGCAGCTTTGCCAATGGTCAGGAACTGATGTATAGATCTGCTCAGTGTTGTACATCCTGCTGACCATAAGCGTGACAATCAGCTCTAATTCACAGATTGGCCTACACTTCTTTTAGCTTTGATTTCAGAGCCACGTAGGATGGGTCATCACTTGCTACCGTGGCACCTGCAGACGAAGACTTAAAAAACCCCTTTATTTAAGGACTTTTGTTTAAGCAGAACTCACTCTTAGGCCTGGTCGAAGCAAAACAAAGGCTGTCGGTGTCATCCTACAAAATATCTCACAACACTGTACTAGTAGCCCGACGCAGCTACCACAGAAATCAGAGGCTGAGCATCCTTTGACTCTACAACCTAAGTGCCCTAATTTAATTCTTAAGTCAAAGAAGGAAATAGTGCTGGAGTGTAACTGGATATACTACAAATGATGTAGGTCCTTAACATACAGTTCATATGCACTTCAGGTTCAGGTGTTTCTCAGCTTTGTGATGTGCGTTAAAGCTTTATATTTTGAGTGACTCAAACTGAATAGTTATGTTTAAAGATCATTTTATGAGACTAATGAAAAACTAGTTTGCCTTAATAGAAGAACATGAACTATCATAAAACACAGAGGCCAAAAACCCCAACCCAAACAACAAATCACTAGTAATCGAATCTGCTTGTCAGTCCTGGTGTGCAAAATATTTTAAGTCAGCATACAATAGAAAATTCAGATGTGCCCAGATACAGTCAAAGTTCTCATCCTATCTCTCAGAGGACTGAGCCACCAAAACTAAACCTTGCATTTTACAGTTGTTCAGATGCTCATTTTCATTCATCACTCTCTCATTTTCCTTTCTGGTTATTCATCATATGACTATAGCTCCCATACGTGACACCTCTTTCTGTAGGCTAAAAAGAGAAGCCTTTCAACAAATCCTGACAGTTTTCTTCTTGTTATGCACAGGGTCCTGAAAATGCCAAGTTCATTGAGAAATCTAGAAAAAAAATCTTCCCCTGTGGAACACTATCAGTTAAAAAGAGCCAGAAATCCTTAGGGTGAGAAGCACGGACTTCCATGTATGTCCACATGCCCTGTCTTTTCTGGTCAGCCTATTTGAGCTGTGTTTTAGAAAAGAAGCAGTTTCTCTCCCCAAAATATACAGTCAAATTGGTTGATTACAGTGCAAATGAAATAACTAGAGATTTTCTTTATGGCCTCTTGGTGTAGAAGAAGGAAGATCAGTGGATCGTTAAGAAAGTTCTGCTCATCTTGGCTATAAAGCTGTCTCCTAAAAGCTTTAGCAGCTCAGGATTATATAACTGCACATTGTTGGAGGAGTAACAGCAACATAATTGATTATTTTAATTAATACAGCCAAATCAAAGCTAAGGAGGGAACCTATGAGAGACCAGAATTTGTAACCAAGCAGTTGCAATATTCACAGCAGAGAATCTGGAAACAAAATATCTCAGAAATATGGATGTGCTGTTTCCATGGCAGAGAGGACTGGCATAAGGAAAAAGTCAGAATTCATTCCCAAATTCACCCCCCTCAAGGAATATTTGAACTACTCTTTTTACGAAAATTCGGTTTTCTGCCATCGATAACCACACAAATGAGCTGCCGCAGTCTACGGGGAGAGAAAGACAACAGCTAACTGGTTAAATATTTGGCATAAATACTTATAAAAGTGTCAAAAAACTTATAACCACTTCCAATTTATTGCTTTGGCACTTGAACTGTGAAAGTATTGGAGGAGAAGGAAAGGGATTAGTGAATAGTGTGTTTATAGGACTGCTGCCACCCAATGTCAAGTGAGAGTATAAATATAATCAGAAAGACCACAGAGATGGGATTTCAACCAAAGGCCTTCTAGGTTTAGCACAATAAATATCTTGAATCAGATATGCTTAAAGGAGCAAGTATCACTCAGTTTAGCTTATGCCTTTCCTCTTTCTTTTTCCTCTTCTCTCCAGTGAGGGCACTGTTTATTTCAGAGCAAAAGCACATATTAGACTTTAATACATGGAAAACCAGAAAGCTCCTTCCTCACAAAAATACCTGTGGAAGCAGTGGCTAGGGAGTCCCAGCTCTCTGTCCTCCGAGACCAGCACGTTTAAGGCTCCTGCCTCCAAAACCTCTGTCTTGGACAGAAACACTCACAGTAACATATGATGGAGAGTGTTTATAGACTGCATCTAACACGGCCAAGCCATTCAATTATTCACAGCATTGGATCTCTGTGCAGCACGATCCTCTAAGAGACACTGCTGCCTTTGAAGAATGAGAAGGACTGACTGCCCAAGAAACCTAAGGAAAGTTAGGCGCCCAGCTCTTGCTCAGATTTCTGGGAGAGGAAGCAATCAGCGTAGCTCAAGCTCCCAGGCAAAACCGTGCTAACGTCAGACGCTTCTCAGTGGAAAAGCTGCCAGGTTAATCTGTTAGTGTCACAAAAAATAAGAGCCAGGCAAAAGAGGCTGTTCTGTGTGGCACAGCAGTTGTCAAACAAGCAGCAATTTCCTTGCGATGCTGTAGATTTGGGAGTCGTGTTACGGGGATGGTCATACTGGGCTCTGGCATTTACCCTTCACCCCTGCAGTGATCAGATCGACTAAAGGAGCAGGGGCAGCCTGGGGGGAGGCACAGTGAAGACAAGGGAGTCTCCCCTTTTCGCCAGGGCACATGCCTGGGACGCTGCCTAGCGAGCCTGTCACGTTCAGTGCCCGGCCACCACAATCAGGTGGCCAGATGCACCTGCAGGAACAAATCCCCAGATGCACCTGCAGGAACAGGACTGCTCTCGTGCATGTACTTTGCAGAACGGACATTTCAGCTGCCCAGGGGGTTCCACCCAGCCCTCGCAGCTACCCAGACGTATCATTTCAAGGGCTAAAATTCCCTGCAACGGTTTTGAGACTGACCAGCTGTACTAACGCTGCCGTAGAGAGTCTTACCCCTATCTCCTGTAAATATTCTTTTATGGAAAAGAACTTTAAGCTCTTTGCAAATCTACCTGTTCGTGCCAGGTTATCAACACAGCTCGCTAGAATGACAGAGGTCTAAGTGCCACTGCCAAACATGCTGAAACGCACTAGTTATTATCCACAAACTGCATTTCCCCCCAGTCCTCTCTGAGACCCTTTCTTCTGTGCACCTCCACCGTGCCCAGCGACTGAAAGTGAGCGCTCTCCACGCAGTCCACACGACCCCCAAATCAGGTGCTTACTCTACACTACTCTGTACGTGGCAAATCACCTCCTGCTTTCTACAGAAGCTCCACAGGCACCGCACCACTCCAGACAGCAGGGAGTAATTAGCTCATTTCCCACATATGGTGCTCGTATCTTAGCGTAGGGAGGATGCATACGGAGTTGAAGAGATAAGGCAGTAATTAACGTATGCGAAATGATGTAAACATCATAGCATAAACTACACGAGTGTCGCTAGAGGAAACATTACTTTTTTCGCCCTTTTCCTCCTCCCACTGAGTTGTCCGGGTGCTACAACACGCCGTCCTCAAGCTGGCCGCTGACGACGCGCCCCGCTCGCGGGGTGCCAGCGGGTTTCCCCGGGCAGAGCCGGAGCCCGTTTCCCCCGGCCCCCGCGCGACCTCGGTGCTCGAGCGGGCGGCGCTCCGCGGCCGAGCCCTCCCGCCGCGGCAGCTGCCGGGGCCGCTCCGCGCCGCGCACTCACCTGGGGCGAGCGGGCGGAAGCCGCGCACCGTGTTGCCCCGGCGGGGGTGCCGCGCGGGCAGCGCCGCGGGGTCCCGCGGCGCCGCCGCCTCCTGCCCGCCGCCGCTGTACTGGTCGTAGAGGCGCAGCATGTGCTCGGAGACCTTGTCCCCCGGCTGCAGCTGCTCGGGCCGCCGCCGCTGCCCCAAGCCGTAGTCACCTGCCGCGGCTCTCGCCCGGCCGCCCCGCGCTCCTCCCGGCGCCGCTCTCCGCCTCGGCCCGACCCAGCGAGCCTTGAGCGCGTCCCCCAGCGCCAGGCACAGGCAGCCCCAGCCCAGGCACAGACACAGCACCCAGCGGGCCGAGCCCACCATCCTGCCCGCGGCGGGCGCCCGCCGGAGCCCCCTCGTCCCACTGCGCCGGCCCGCAGGCAGCCGGGCGGGACCGAGAGCGCGGAGCGAGGGCGCTCGGGCGAGGCGCAGCCCGCGGCGGCTCGAGGGGCCGCGCTCGAAACGCAGATGGGGTTTCCTCTTCGGGGAATAAAAGAAAAAAAAAAAAAAGAAAAAAAAGTGGGAGGAAAGCGCCACCGTGTAAACGGTGCGTCCTTGGCGGGGCTGGCAGCCAAGCTGCTTATTTCCCTTCCTGCGCAGGTTGCTTCTTGGCGAGAGGTGGAGGTGTTGCTCTCCGTGCGGCTGATGCGCGGCCCCGGCTTTGAGTGGTGCAGGCGCAGCCCGGGTGAGTTTTTGTGGGGGGTGCGAGGGGGGGGGGGGTGCGTGCGTGAGTGCGAGTCCCGGCTCCCGGGGCTGATCTGTGTAATCAGCAGCCAATCGCGCCGCCTTCTCGCTCGGCTCCGGCTGCAAGCGAGAGGCAAAGCGAGGGGGAAACCGCCAGGCGCAGGAGAAGGCGCCCGCACACGCAGGCTCGGCGAGCGCGGGCCCTGCGCATGCAGTGCCTGGCACCGCCTGCGCCCCGAGGGCACAGGGGGACGGGATGTTCCTCTCCCCACCACCTCCACCCAAGCCTCTTCCAAAGGCAGCGAAATACAAGGGCAGTGCAGAGACAAAAGTCCTGAATCAAATCACATCCAGGCTCCTCCTGGCGAACATGTCTGGTCTCGGCTGGGTTCAGAGCACGGGTCCCTGCCAGGCAGGTGAAAGGGGCAGAAATTGGGCTGTGCTGGGCATTGAGTCCATCTCTCTCCAGTGCCCGTCCTCCTCACTGGCACTCCGATTCTTCCTCTGTCCCCCTTCAAGCCAGGGCTGGCCACGGTAGCCGCAGCAAGCTGGAGCAGGGACAGGCATCGTGCTCCAGGCAATGGGAGGACAAAGCCTTTTTGGACATGGGGACGGTGTGCACGCTCCATGGGATGAGGCAGGGAAATCCCGCACACAAGGACTCCTCCAGTACAGCCCGACACTGCTTGCTGGGCTGAGAGGCGCTCACCAGCAAAAGTGCAAAAGAGCCTCACCCTTCCCCAGCCCCACAACTGTTGGTAACACCCCATGGCACGTGCAACACTGTCCCTGCGACCCACCGTGAGGCTGCCTCACCCCGTGCATCTGCTGAGGGGAAACCTCTCTGTGTTTGCCAGGCTTATTAATACCTAAGCTCACATTTGGAAAACGACTCTGTTTCCAGCCTTATGAAGGGAAATAAGAAAATTACCTTGCAGCTTAAGCTGCATGCACTAACACAACATAATTCTTGCATGGAGCACTCATGTTTTCAACAGGCTGTTTACAGGGCTAATTGCTAAAACCGGAGTATAGAGTTTCCATTTGTGTCTTGCGTGCAAAAGGTAACTAAAAGACCCCTACCTAAAAGCAAACCCTAATGGCACTATACACCTACAGAAAACGTATCATTATCATGCACTAAGTGTGTATTAAGAGGTATTAGGAGAGAACAAGAGGTATAAAGGAGAGAACAAGCTTGTCTTTCAAATTCTACTGAATATGGCTTTTGGTACCCAACATCCTTATGCACTATTAATAATAAAACTACTACAAGTGAGCAGCTACTGGCAGGTAAGAAGAGATGACTTCCAAAAGCAGACTGATCATTTTTGATGGTAAAATGCATGAAAATATATTCCATTTTCACACTGTTTCAAGGCATCCAGTTTGCTACACACATCTAAAAAGATTATACATATATGTACACAGCATATACATGTATACATACAAATACGACAGAATTTATTAGTAATGCTAACAGCAATATTAACTTTACATTCCACATCTCTACATAAGAAACTTGCATTAGTGCAACATAACATTTGGTCAACTCAATATCCAGGAAATTAAGGTGTGATCAGGTTCTGGGACACAAATAACAAAATAAATATAGTTCTCTGCAAGATGGAAACAAAATGATTGGAACTCATAGCTGAAACTTTCAGCCCAAGTAGCCATCTCTGATTTATCACCATGACTGCACTTCCAGTCCCCAAAGAGATTTGGGGCAAGTGAAATACTGGTCAAATACAAGTGCTGTTTCAACTGGAGTGATGTTATTTTCTAATGGTGAGAGGCATCATTAATAAAACACTAGCATAACTCAAGTCTCTTAAACTTACAATGCCAAATAACTGGCCAGGAGAATGTGATCTGTTCTGTGCGTCCAGCAAATGAGGGATCTTACACACTGCAGCCTGACTTCTGAGGCTGGACCACTGCAAATTGGGAATGCCTTTGCTCAGGGAGAAATAGGCAGAGCCAGCACCTACGTACGTCACGCAGCACTTGAGCAAAGGCAGATTAGAGAAGGACCAGCTGAAACTCTGCACGGAAGCCCAGGCAACCTATTGCTCTACTTTTATTTTAAATCTTTTAAGGCTTAGCATAAAGCACTGTTTATGCAAAATTAATTCAGAATTTGGCTCCCAGAACCTTGCCCTGCCACCTGCCTGTGGTTGTTTAGGTTAGCTGTCTAAACCAGAAAGCCAGTCCAGTACAATCCTGTTTCAAGCACTGAAAAGAAAGAGGACTCTTGGGGTAAGGGAGAAAGGAAGATTCTTTCTCTGAACCCCCCCTGCTTTAGGCTGCCCCTGTAGGTTTTGGGGAAGTGCAGAAGCAGAGATGGAGTCTCAAATATCGCTTGCTTTACAAATTGTCCCCCAGGTAGAGTGGGATTCTATCGCATGCAGTCCTGAAACTCCAAATGTTAAAAATTATCCTTAGATTAAACTGACTATATGATTTTACATGCCGTGACTGCGCAAAACAAACTGAAGTAGCACGTGTAAGTAGTTACTCCTCATTAGTAAATAATGGCTGGCAAGCTCTCAGAGCTGCCATCTGAGATAACAGGGCTTCTGCACCTTTCTATTACTTTTTTTCCATTTCTTAGGTGCAAGTGCTGCAAATCACTAGCAACTGCAGCGCGGGTCAGGAAACAACATTCTGTCCATGTCCCAGAGAGCTTAAAGTTTAACCCCACAGGTTTTAAAATAATTAAGTTGATTTACAAGAGGAGAAAGAGGGCCCCTGAAGCCATATAACTGTGCTGGTGCCGGGTGCGACGGCGAAGCTGTGTCCCTAGCCTTGACAGCGGGGCACGGTACCTCTATTATAAATACCACAGAGGTGATGGCACCCACAGGGTCACCCTCAGGAGACTGGTTCTGATGGGGGTATTTTTAACTGCAGAGATGTTATGGACATCTCAATGTGCCACTGAAGCCACCCTTATCTCTTACAAAAGCAGTATTTTCCACCAGGAGGCACGTTCTACATTTTAAGCTCAGTCTGAAAAAAAAAGAAAAAAAGAAAATCTGAAATATCCAATTCAATGAGTTATTTAGATAATGGTCAGATTCCAGCTGTTCTACAACCCTATAATAATGTGTTTGCCTATGGCATTTATGGGATGGGAGGGGAAGTGGAAAGAAGGAATTCACAAGCGGATTGGGGCAGCAGTGGAACTGGGCAAGGACATGGTGGGATAAAGGGACAGGTCGCCTGGCTTGCTCTGCTTAGCACAGCTGGCCCGCGAGCCCAGGGGAAAGGACGATGCAACCAGTACTGCCAGACGTGAGAGGGTTATTCTGTGGCCGTACCAAACCTCAGCAGCAAAGAGAAGGAAAAGACTTAAAACAGACCAGCACTATTGGAAAATTATATATCTGAATAATACACAGCTTTAATTTAACCTTTATCTAATTGCCCCATTAATGTGTGATACCTCAACGCTTTGCTATCCCTGCTGTTTTTCGGGGGCAGTGATATTCACAGAGTGACACTGCTCAGCATCGGTCCGCGACGAACCCCTGCTCACCTTGAGCGAGGCAGCGCTGGCGCGCGGGGGCTCTGCCGGGGCCTTCCTCAGTCACCCCGGGCACGGTGCCGGTGCCAGGACGTTGTGTTCCGCACGCTGCCACCCACGGGAACCGCTTCCCCCTGCTTGCTCAGCAGGCAGCTGCCTTCCCTGCCGGCGCGGCTCCTCTTCTGCCTTCAGCGGCACACGGACAGGCACACGAGCTCGAGCGCTCGGCCCTTCTTCGCGCCGTGTCAAAGCCGTGTCCTCACAGCGAGAGACAGATGCGCTGCGAGGAACGGCTAACGAGCCTACGGCCCGTGCTGGAAGGGACTCTGTTTTCACAGATGAGGTACTCCCTTGGGTAATATTCCCGTTCCCAGGAAACCAGCAGGGTGGTTTCATGCTACTATCAGTATATGCAGCCTCCAAGCTTGTAATTCCATCATATTCCCTCATGCAGGCTAAAATTCCTTTGTGATTCTGCTAATATAAATATCAGGCTTACCATGCAGCACTTCAGTAAGCTACTAAGCAAAACTGGACTCATCCCCGAGCTGAAAAGACTCTCTATCTGTTTGGGAGGGTTTAATCTTCATGACCCCTCTTGTTTGGGAGCTTTCTGCTGTGACAGGTCAACAAGAAACGTGCTAATCCCAACTCTCCAAGCCATTTTGCTGTCCCTCAGAACTGTCTTTTGTAAGGCAGTGCGCACGCAGTAAATAAACCACAGGTGCAGGCCTGGGAAGCAGTAAACCCAGTCTACCAGGACACTCCTTGCTCTCAGTATTCTATGTAAGACACCATCACATGTGGGGCATACCAGTGCTGGTCTAGCTGTGTTTAATTCTTTTTTTACCCATTAATTTATTTTTTTAACCCATTTTACTACTACAATGTTTAGGGCGAGAATGCTTCTTCTGTAGCCTTCTTGATGGCATTCCAAATTAATGCCTATGTTTGAAAATATGTATCTTGTCATGCACATAGCAGTGACTGCACCTGCAAACAGTACCTGAATCTGCTGATAGTGACAGGGAAGTAGGTCTTCTTTCGTGGCTTGATGAATATTCAGCACTACTGGATTACACAATTTCCTTTGAGGAGTTGTCAGAAG